AGGTGGTGTGGTGATTAAGGCGCTGGACACTCCCACATGGCCAACCAGGGTTCAAGTCCTGAATCTGATGGCTTGCTTTCTCACTTCCTCTCTCTATCACTCTCACCCTCTGTCTCTCTCTGGTCAGACTAAAAAAATACAATGAATGAATAAATAAAATAAAATAATTTTAAAATATATATATACCACCTGGCACATACTGAACTCAGTAAATCTCTCATGCATAAGCTAATTCTTGATTCGTTGGGTTATTTATTTATTTATCTCATGACAGAGGGAGAAAGAGACAAGCACCTGGAAAGGGTTCCATACCGTGATCCTCCCACCAGCTCTCCCCACTAGCCAGGATCATGGGTACACACGTATGTGCCTAGCATGTATAGATTGACCCAAGAACTAAACCCTGACCTTCCATGTGGCCCCCAGCATTCAGAGTAGCCTTCCACCACTACACCACCATGGCTGGGCCTGTATTTTGTTTTTGTTTTTAATTTGCCAGAGGCCTCTTGTGCTCACCGGAGAGAAAGCCCGTCTGGATGTTGGGTGCACACACACACCTGTTGTGTCTCCCAAGTGTCTGGGTCCAGTGCTCGAACCGTGCAGTCAGCCTGGTGGGACCCAGCCACCTCCATCACCATGCCATGGGCTGGCTCGCGTTGGGTTTCATCAGAACAGTAGCAATTCTCAGCTGCTGGAGGGCGAATGTGATTCTAACGGAAGCGCCCACGTTAGGTGTCCCTCTCCTTAGCCAGTGAAGAAGGTGACGTTTCTCTCATGGTTTGTGTGCCAGGACGCCAAGTACCTGTTCCGCCTGTACATGGCTCTGAAGCAGTACCGAGAGGCGGCCCGCACTGCCATCATCATCGCCAGGGGAGAGCAGTCTGCAGGTAGGTCCCTCACACCTGCCTCGTTCTCCGCGAGCCAGGAGAAGAGCAGAATTGAACCGCAACTCCTTGTTTTTCCCCAGGAAAGGGTAGCCATATTGAACCCGAGGCTTGTTTTTTTTTGGAGAGATTTTCACTATAGGGCGCGTGCGCTCGCCAGACAGACAGAGACATAGAGACAGAAAGCGAGAAATCACCCCCTAGGGGGGATGGTCACGCCGCAATCCCTTCTCCTCCATTCTCCTCTCAGGATCTTAGGCACGCACGCACACGCGCCCGGCGTGAGTTTTAAGCCACCGGGTCCGGGACGTGAACCGCGGTCGACTACGTGGGAGTCCAGCGACATAGCCATTATGCTAACTGCTGGTTCCCACCGAGGCTTGTTTTGAACCCAAGAGACTAGGGACTTGTAGGCTTCAGGCAATTAATTTGCCATCACAGGGGGGTAGACTAGCTGAACTATGGGCCTCTCCTTAGGTGTCTTTCCTTTCTTCCTTCCTTCTTCCGAGTTCCTGTCTCCTGGACAGCTACCGCTCTGGCCTCTGCAGCCCCCGCCCAGACCGACAGCATTGCCTTCCCATTGCGGGTCTCTGACCTTAACGATATAGGAGATACTAGAAGACAGGAGATAATTCCGAGGTAGTGATATAGACCTTATGCCATGGAGGGACTATTTATATAACGGAACCTCAGGGGACCAGCAGTTGGAGTAATGGCTATGTCACTGGACTCCCATGTAGTCGACCACGGTTTGAGTCCCGGACCCGGTGGCTTAAACTCACGCCAGGCACGTGTGCGTGCGTGCCCAAGATCTCGAGAGGAGAATGGAGGAGAAGGGATTGTGGCATGGCCATCCCCCCTGGGAGGGGGGGTGATTTCTCGCTTTCTGTCTCTCCATCTCTGTCTTTCTGGTGAGTGCACGTGCCCTATAACAAAAATCTCTCTCAAAAAAAATTAAAAAAAAAAAATATATATATATATGTATAATGGAATCCCCATAATGATTCTGCTCAGGTGCATTCTCTGTTTATTGAATTCGAGGGAAAAATCTGGTATATTTGCTACTTTTAGCAAGCTGATTCTCTTATAAGGTCATCGATATGGACCACAGTTATGGAATATACGCAGTTATCCCAGACCTTACTTTATTCGGTGTACGTTGATCTGACACCTGCTGCCATCGATTCCTGCTTGGAGTTCTGGGTACAGAGAGGACTGAGCCACGGCTCTGCCCTCAGGGTTCACATGTGATGGGAGAGACAGGAAGTAAACTCAGAGCTGTCGTGCAGGGTGATGTGTTCAGGGATAGAAAGAGAAATAGGCTAAAAAGGCACCTGGAGGGAACCAGCAGTTAGCGTAATGGCTATGTCGCTGGACTCCCACGTAGTCGACCACGGTTCGTGTCCCGGACCCGGTGGCTTAAAACTCACGCCGGGCGCGTGTGCGTGCGTGCCCAAGATCCCGAGAGGAGAATGGAGGAGAAGGGATTGCGGCGTGACCATCCCCCCTGGGGGGTGATTTCTCGCTTTCTGTCTCTATGTCTCTCTCTGTCTGTCTGGTGAGCGCACGCGCCCTACAGTGAAAATCTCTCAAAAAAAAAAAGGCACGTGGACAGGGAACTGGGGCAGCCTGCAGGTCATAGAGAGAGTGGAGGGCGGAGGTGAGAGAAGGCAGCCATAGCTTCAGTCGAGTTTGAAGAGTGAGAGAGCCCCTGAGGGAATGGGGTGTGCTGGGCGAGGAGCAGCAGGACTGCAGCATCTGGTGACTGGAGCCGGAGGAGAGGCCAGAGACATGGTCGGAGGAGGCAGGGCGCACCCCAATGGCCTCTGCTCAAGAATTTGCACCTGGGGGACCAGCAGGTGGCATGGTGGTTAAGCCACTGGACACTCCCACATAGCCAACCATGGTTCGAGTCCCAGACCTGGTGGTGTGCTTTCTCACTCCCCCCACCCCCATGTCTTTCTCTGGTCAAATTAAAAATAATGATCAATGAATAAATCAAATTAAATAATTCTAAAAAAAAAAAAATTACACCTGATCCTTTACATCTTTGTGGGGCTTTATGCAGGACTTTGGACTTTGTGACCTTGATGTGAAAGTTGAGGTGTCTAAAGTCCTCTGTCATCAGAAGGAGGGCTCGGAATGAGGGTGATCAGAAGGAGGGGGACTAGTGTGCTACTGCGGGGACAGATGACGAGAAACTGAGGGCTGGGGAGCTCTCCAAGGCTGACTCAGAATTCAGTGGCCCAGTGGGTCCCCTGAGGGAGTGAGACATTGAGGAGGACATTTGTCCCTGAGGGGCCAGTTGAATGTTCATACCATTGATTAAAACAGGAAAGCTGTTAAGTGACTTTATGTAAGCAATGATTAAGAGATTGTTAACAGGGGCTGGCAGGTGGCATGGCAGTTAAGGGCACTGGGCTCCCACATGGCCCACTGTGGTTCAAGTCCTGGACCTGGCAGCTTGCTTTCTCACTTTTTCCTACTCTCTTTTTCTCACACTGTCCCTCTCTGGTCAAATTTAAATAAAGAAATAAAGTTAAATAAAATAGTTCTTGACAAAAAAAAAAAAAAAGATATTGTTAATAACATAATCAACAAAATCCACATGTAAGATGGCGGCCTACCGGAAGCCCTCCGATTCTGTCCTTTGCAACCGGATCTTCTTAACGCCTCTTTTCAGGAAACTACCGCAACGCACACGACGTTCTCTTCGGTATGTACGCAGAGCTTCAGGCCCAGAAGATCAAGATTCCCTCCGAGATGGCCACCAACCTCATGATTCTGCACAGTTACATCCTGGTGAAGGTGAGGCTCTGGGGTGACGAGGGCGTCCGTCCCTAGCTCAGGCTCCTTCCTGGCACCTCTTGCTACAATCAGTGATGTCCCACATTTAGCCACTGTCCAGTGACTACAGCAAGATAAAGAACAGCTTTACAGTCTGCGGTCACGTGTACAAAAAGACGAAAAGAAAAAATGACTATCTGTTCATTGTAAATAAAGTTAGAAGGGTACCGAAGAGATCAACAAGGTTTCCTAAAGGGACCGTGCCTGGGATAGGGGAGGCCCAGCCCCTTAACCCCAAGCAGTAGAAGGGCATAAGAGAGAGCAGGTTTCACCGGATGTATTTCTTTATATTACTTTGAATTTGAAACAATAAATATATTGCCTCTGTCAAAGAGATAGATTTACTTATCCAAAGATAGTTTATTTAATTTTTAAAAGAATTATTTATTCAATTTTATTTATTCATTCATTTATTTTTAATTTGACTGGAGAGAGACACAGAGAGAGAGAGAGGGAAAGTGAGAAAGCAAGCCACCAGGTCTGGGACTCAAACCATGGTTGGCCATGTGGGAGTGTCCAGCGCCCTAACCACCACGCCACCTGCTGACCCCAAAGATAGTTTATTAATTCTAAGTAGATTTTATAAAATTCTGCTGATTTTAATGTTTTGTTTTCATCCGAATATAAAAACAACACATATTCACTAAAGAAATTTAGAGAATGTAGAAAAGTATAATGAAGAACCAGTTCCCATAATGCAGTGGTTGAGCCCAGTATGTAAGGAGCCAGATCCCACGTGCCAAGTGCGGTTCAAATCCTGGCCCCGGGATATTGAAAACCATACCCAGGATCGTGACAGGATGGAGGAATGGAGGAAAAAGGATTGCAGTGTGACCAGGCTTCGTGTTGCGTGCTTCCCACGGGCACTGGGTGGCCCCCTCCTGTAAGTCATGCTCCCGCTCTGCCTAACTCTTGACCACCTGAGGTGTCATGTCTCACAACAACTTGGGAAAGATGGTATTATTAGTCCCTGAATAATGGCCAGTAAGAGGCAGACCAGGGATTTGAACTCATGTCAAATGGCCAGGGACAAAGCGAAAAGCAGGGCCTAGAGCAGGGGCGGCCGGGAGCCCCTGCGGCAGGGATAGAAGTGGGGAAGTCCCCAGTGGATTTAGCCCAGGACCTTAGAATGACCCTGTTCTGGGTCACAATCAAGGTGTTCTTTATTGGGGGTTCATCAGAATCTATGAAAGTGAAGTATGTCATTTATTTCAGATTCACGTTAAGAGCGGGGATCACATGAAAGGGGCACGTATGCTCATCCGGGTGGCCAACAACATCAGCAAGTTCCCGTCACGTAAGTACCATGTGCACGCTTGTCACCCACGGTTCGCTCCCGTGCTCAGATGGCCCTGCTCACTCTCCCAGCGGTTACGTTGCTGGACTCCCATGTAGTCAACCACGGTTCGAGTCCCAATCCAGCGCCTTAAAATTCACGCCGGGCGTGTGTGCATGCGTCCCCAAGATCCCAAGAGGAGAATGGAGGAGAAGGGATGGCGGTGTGGCCATTCCCCTTGGGCGGTGATTTCTCACTTTCTGTCTCTCTGTCTCTCTGTATCTCTCTGGCGAGGACATGTGCCATTTAGCAAAAATCTACAAAATAATTAAAGGTCTGACTCCGTGTTCTCATCTGCAGTCGGACATGGCCTCTGAAAAGGGTCTACTATTCTCACACACACGTCGTTCTTAATGAATAGAGTTTGTCACATTCTATGACGAGGTCAAGAAATATTTTCCGTACTGTTCCAGGCTTCGTGGGCCGTCTGGGCCCTGTCGGAGCTATTCAGCTCTGCCATTTTGGCATGAGCCATGCATAAGCCGGTGAGCAAGGCTGTGTTCGTTCTAGGAGAACTTTCTTTTTGGACACGGAAATTTGGACTTATTGTTTTAATGTGTCACAAAATATTATTCTTTAGATGTTTTTCAGTCATGTAAAAATGGAAACTCTATTTTTATTTTTTTTTTCGGAGAGGTATTCGCTACAGGGCACGTGTGCTCGCCAGAAAAACAGAGACAGAAAGCAAGAAATCACTCCCCAGGGGGCATGGCCATGCCACCATCCCGTCTCTTCCATTGTGCTCTTGGGATCTTGGGCACGCGTGCACACGCACCTGGCGTGAGTTTAAGCCACTGGTCTGGGACTCGAACCGTGGTCGACTACATGGGAGTCCAACGACATAGCCATTACGCCAACTGCTGGTCCCATTTTTTTATTTGCTGGGGTTTAAAAAAAATTTTTTTAAAGAATATTTTATTTATTATTACCATTCTTTCATTTAACCAGAGAGAGGGAAAGTGAGAAAGCAAGCCGCCAGGTCCAGGATCCAAACCACGGTTGGCCATGTGGGAGTCAGTGCCTCAACCACCACGCCACCTGCTGGCCCCTGCACAAACTTTTCGAAGACCATCCATATATCATGCTGGGAAGGGGTGGGGTAGGACAGACACTGTGTGATTGCTGGGGGGTACGGGAATGGGTCTATCCTTTCTAGAACACATTTCGCAAGTTGTAGTAAGAATGTTTAGAGGGTCACGTTCCCTGAGCCAGTAGTTCCGGGCCTGTGTCCTGGAGAAGTAATTAGGTGTGTTGCAGAGAAGTTCGTGTGTGACCTCGTCACCCTCCCTGACCCGCTCGTCAGCCATCCTGTCGTGTGCAGGAACTCTCGGAGGTGTGGAGGGACACGCAAGCGTACCGCGTGAGGGTCCCGGTGTTACAGCAGGGCATGACGTGATCAAGGGACAGGTTACCTCAGGCACTAGGGGGACTCCGAGCCAACCCCCTGCCGTGCCCTTGTCTCATGAAACAGACCCTTCCTGGTTGTTTGTGGAAAAAGCAAAGTGCAGAGAGCTATGACCCTGCTTTCCGAGCGACGGGGTCTGAGTGGCGCCCGTGTCCTGAGCACCGGTGGCACTGCGCTTTCTGTCCTCCCTCCTCCATCACAGACATTGTCCCAATCCTGACGTCCACCGTGATTGAGTGCCACCGCGCAGGCCTGAAGAACTCTGCCTTCAGCTTCGCAGCCATGTTGATGAGGCCCGAGTACCGCAACAAAATAGACGCCAAGTACAAGAAGAAGATCGAGGCCATGGTCAGGTAGGAGACGCTGCCCTTTCTGCCCCCGATCACACGGTGCATGGGTGGCTTCAGACGCAGCTGTCACTGTGCAGGCCCAACGAAGTCGGGGACAGCAAGGAGGATCGTGTTTTGCTCCAAGAAGCAGAAAACCCAACTGCAGCTTAGACGAGTCGGGCTTCTTGGCCCCTACACGCAGCACTGGAGCCCAGGCTGGGCCCTCTGTGTCGCGATGCCCCCAGGCTCGGGTCCCTCTGTCCTCCAGCTTTGCCACCCCAGCATAGAGGCGTCCTTGTCATGGTGGCAGGGCTTCTGCTGCACCTGCAGATGGCAGCAGTGGAGAATGAAGGGACAAGGGGGTTTGCCTGCTTCTTAGGAAGGCCCCTGGTCAGGGCTTGCACCTCCGTGACCAGCACCCCACCACACGGTGCCTCTACCTACACAGCGTGTCACTGGATGGGAACAAAGCTCTGTTGGCCAGGAGGGAAGGGAGTGACTGGTAGGGAGGCAGCAGCATCTGCCACCAAGGGCTGAATAAAAGCAGGCGGGCCTCGCACGAACAGCCACTGCCCACAGGGGTCACTTCCAGGTCCCCAGCAGCTCCACGGGCACCACCGTGGTCCTGCACTTCAGAAAGCAATGCGAGTGGCCTGGACTCTAAGGGACACACCTTTTTACTTCCTTAATTCCAGCGGGTTATGTATATGCGCACAAGAGACAGAGTTTGCGGGAGAGAAAGTACCCCAACGTGGCCTGGTCGTGCCGTGGTCCTTTTCCCTCCAATTCCTTTCCTTTTAGGTTTTTGTCTTAGGGTGCATGCGCTTGCCAGAGAGACAGAGTCAGAGAGAAGGAGAGTGAGAAACCACTGCCGGGAGGGATGACCATGTCCCGGTCCCCTCTCCTCCATTCGTCTCTCAGGACTTTGGGCACTCACACACACGCCCATCTAGCATGAGTTGCAAGCCACTGGGTCTGGGATTCGACTCACAGAGCTGGCCATGTGGGATTCAGCACCTTAGCCACCATGGCAGCTGCTGGCCCTACCCTCTAATTCTTAACCCACCAGGATCTGGAACATGCACCCAGCATATTTTTCAAGCTGCTAGGGCCAGGACTTGAGCCCTGGGCGGCCATGTGGAATCAGCTTCCTCGGTATAGCACTTAACCACCGTGCCGTGGGGCTGGCCCCTTCCTTTAAAAGCAGCTTCAGACCGAGTCAGTGCGATCCGGCATACCCAGTGCCATGGAGAAGGAGGTGGGCAGAGCTGGAGGGGCCAGATGCTGGCACAGCGGTAGAACACAGCGCGCTGCGAGGCTGACCTGTGCAGGAAGGTTCTGGGTCCCTATCCGGGGCCCTGCATACCCCGGGCACACACCTGTCCCTGATCTGGAGCTTGCTGAAGCTGCGGAGGATCACAGAGCCAAGACCCTGGGTGCTCTCTCTCTGTTTCTCTTGCTCACGGAGGAGATATATTTAATTTTTCCTTTTGAAAAGTATCTCTGAGATCACATGTACCCAGTGTCGTACCGTGGCAGCCGAGGCCCTGGCTTGGGACAGATTTTAGTCATTCCCTCCCCACAGGAGTGGTCTGTCACTGTGTGGTCCAGTATGGCACCACTACCTGTATGTGACCACTTAAATGTAAATGAACTAAAGGGGATTAAAATGCGAAACTCGGAGGATCCTCACCATACCCAGTACCCGCATTTCAAGCGCTCAGCTCTGCATGCCGCTCATGGCCCCGTGTGGCGTAGCACAGTGCCAGGACATTCCTGCCCCCCAGGGCACCCTGCTGGACGCACAGAACCGCCTTCACCTCTTCAGTTGTACGAAAGGAGGGGACAGAGAAAAATCTAAGCCCATCGCTCCAGGGGCACAGGAAGACAGGAGGCAGCAAGATGGACCATGCTGTCTGCATTTAATGCCCCCAAAGCTGACCAGTCCTGGGCAGATCCAGGGCCGACAGCGGCGAGTCGTGCAGCTCCTGTGTCCGGGTCTGCCGGGAAGTAGATGAGCTCCATGTCCTCAGTTTCCAAGCACGCTTCCCTCTGCTCTCCATGCTCTGTGAGATGCAGTGCTGTTTTACAGGCTGTGATTTGGAGCCAGCAGGTAAAGGGTACCGGACTCCCTCAAGGCTGACCATAGTTCGAGTCCCAGACCTGGTGGCATGAAAATTACACCAGGGGCGTCTGCATGTGTGCTGAAAATCCCCAGAGAAGGATGAAAAAGGGAGGACGGACGGCATGGCCACCCCCTCCCATCCCCGGGGATGACTTCTTACTCTCTGTCTCTCTCCAGCAAGCGTATGCAGCCTCTAGCAAAAACGTTAAAATATAAATATATGAATGCATGCCCGCTATGGTTTTCTCTCCTCGCAGGAGACCCGATACATCGGAGATAGAGGAAGCCACGACCCCTTGTCCATTCTGCGAATTTCTTCTCCCGGAATGTGAACTCCTCTGCCCCGGATGTAAAAACAACATCCCTTACTGCATCGCCACAGTGAGCTGCGTGACCATTTTCTTTTTCTTTGCGTGTGAATTTACAACCCATTTGCAGGCTCGATACATATGTCAACGTTTCTCCACTTCCGAGATCATCTCCTTCACATTTCCTGCGATTTTTAGCATTTCATTTCACGGTCACCCTAGCTGAGATAGCCTCAGAGCGTATCATAGGAAGCCACTCTCGGGAAGGTGCTGGGGCCTCACTGCCCGGGCTCGGGATCACACGGTCCTGTTCTGCCCCCTGCTGGCCGCATCACCTCGTGCAGCTTGCTTTAGCTCGCCAGACTGGCCGAGATCAACTGCAGACTCAGGGGGTAACGTGTACAGAGCCTCAGTGCCGGTAGCACTAGCTGGTAGTCTTTAAGTCATTTCAATACGAAGACCTATTACCAGAAAACAAAGAGTCAGATTTGCTAATCAGTGGATTCATATAAGCTTTATTTGAAAAGAAAAGAAATTCGGGTAACGGTGTCAAAGCGGAAGATGACCCCTCCTTTGCATGTGAATCTGAGAAGTAAAATCTAGCATTCGTCCTTTCAATGCCCTTTCTTCCTAGTCAGTTACTCAGAGGCATGTAGGGGTCTGGCTTTTCATTGTAATCCAGTTACTGTAACTGAGTAACACTGGGAGTTTAAAAGATAACCATGAGTTCTGCTCTGAGATGTGCTGTTTTCAGGGCCGACACATGCTGAAGGGTGACTGGACGGTGTGTCCACACTGCAACTTCCCCGCTCTCTACTCAGAATTTAAAACGTAAGTCTATCAGCATCAGCAGAGGCATAATGGTCATGTTGCTGGACTCCCACGGACTTGAGTCCCAAACCCGGTGACTTCAAACTCACACCAGGTGCATGTGCATGCGTGCCCAAACTCCCGAGAGGAGCATGGAGGAGGAAGGGACTGCGGGGTGGCCATCCCTCCAGGGAGTGATTTCTTGTCTTCTGTCTCTCTGTCTGCCTCCCTCTGTCTCGGTGGTGAGCGCACAGGCCCTACAGCAAAAAATCTCTCTCAAAAAAAAAAAAAAAAAAAGTTAAGCATGCCACTGAGTCCCACAGTGTAGCCAAAATTAGGCCTGTATCATGCTTTTCATCCCTAAAGACCCAAATCATCTTCTTGGACAAACCATCTATGACTTTATATAATAGTATTCTTTTTTTTATTTTTAAAGAACTATTTAATTTTATTTATTCATTCATTTATTTTAATTTGACCAGAGACACAGAGAGAGGGAAAGTGAGAAAGCAAGCTGCCAGGTCCAGGACTCAAACCATGGTTGGCCATGTGGGAATCCAGTGCCCTTGATCACCACGCCATCTGCTGGCCCCTAAAATAGTATTCCTTTTGAAAGAGGATCTTGCATGAGACTATTTCTGATTCTTAAACTGCACGGCGAACGTTTCCAAGAGGTAGAGACAGAAAATAATTCTGCATATTAAAGCCACGCAAAGCTACAGGCATGTTGTATTTTTCACCTGCCCTGCATTTCCGTCCTCCAATCAGCTTGTTGAACACCGAAAGCACTTGTCCTATGTGTTCGGAAAGGTTAAACTCTGCTCAGCTGAAGAGCGTTTCAGACTGCACCCAGTACCTGCAGACGGAGGTGGAACCCTGAGTAGCGTGTGGGTAAGTGCCAGACCATCCACTCAACCTCAGGGCCGGAGTCCAGAGTCCACACGGGGTCCTGCCACAGACTCCTTTTTCTGCCTCATGTCACTGTCCTGGCTGAACAGTCTGTCCAGAAACAAACCTTTGGGTCTTTTTCTCTTTTTACACTTTCATTTATAACATCTGTGTTACTTAGTCATCAAGGAATTCGGCGGAAATCATTGAAACGTTCATGTCCCCCTCATGGGCTACCCACTTGCTGTTTCTTGGTGTGCCCACCTCGTCATCCCCCAGGGAGGGGACATGGGGGGATATCGCCCAGAGAGTCCCCTGGGAGTCTCAGTGGGGGCAGAGCACTGCAGAGGGAGGAGAGCCTGTCTGGAGGGGGATTGAGGGAGGGGCCCTAGAGGATGGGCCCAGTTTCAATTTTTAACCTGAAGATAAAGTCACTTGATAATAAAGTATTGGGTCATCGGGAAAGTCATGACACAGTTTTGCATAGAAAAAAAAAATACATCATAACTTTCTCAATGACCTAATGTTACCTTTCTTTCTATGTATTGCTGGATTATTTTGCTAACATTCCATTGAGAATATTGTGTGTCTACGAAGGATATTAGTCATTTTTCTTGTCTTTTTTCAAGTTTTATTATCAGATTGAATTAATTCCTCTTGATCTTTTTTTTTACCTGTATGAGTCTTTGCAAAAGATTATTATTATTTTTTTTTTTTATTTGCTGTGGGATGCATGTACTCACGAGTCAGAGGGAAAGCGAGAAAGCAACCCCTAGGGGTGACAGCCACACTGCGGTCCTTCTCCCCCATTCTCCTTTTGGGACATTAGGCATACACGTCCATGCGCCTGGCGTGTTTTTCAAGCCACTGGGTCTGACACTTGAGCCACACAGTCAGCCATGTGGGATCTAACTGCCCCAACCACCATGCCACTGGCTGGTCTGCTGGAAAGTTTTTAACTTGTACATACACATACACACACACGTATACATGTACCCATGCACACATTATAAACCCTATAATGATATAATTTTCCTTTAGTCATTTGGGTTGTTTGTATCTTTCTTTCATGGCAGACACCCCCAACAGCACCCTGTCACACCATGATCCTCCCACCACCCTCCCAGCCAGCCCGGATGTCAAGCACACCCACACACACAGCATGTTTAGGTTGCCATGGGATTGGACCCCAGGCCCTCCCCGATGGCTCCAGAATCCTGCAGTGACATCCTCCTCCGTGTGCCACCACAGCTTGGACTTTGTGTCGTTTGTGTCTTTAAAAGAAACTACAAGAACAAATATATAATGTAGCTTTCTTTTTACCTATTTACTATTTCTATCTTTCTGCTTTCCTGAATCTCCATGTATTTCCATATTACTTCCTTCCCGCCTAAAGAGCTTCCTTTAACATTTCTGACAAGTGCAAGTTTGTTGGCAACTATTTATTTTCGAAGGGTATTTTTACATGGTATGCAATCCTGGGCTACAGTTTAAAGAATTTTCAAGATAAATAATTTGTCTCCAAGGTCAAACATTATTGTTCCCTTGTATGTACTCTTTCTGGTTACCCTCAAGATATTCTATTTGAGAGTTTTGGAAAGAATTCTGGCTAGACTTGCCTAGATGTGTGAGTGGTTCTTTTTCACTTTTTAAAAAATTCCACTTGTCATCTTCTAGGCTTCCTGGATCTGCATGTCTATATTTTTCCATCAACTTGGCTATTTGGGGCCATTATTTCTTCAAATCTGTTTTCTATCCGTATCTTCTCATTCTGGGACTCCAATTAGTATCTTTGTTTGACTACTTGATATGCATAGGTTGCTAAGTTTCATTTTCATCTACTCTTTCTATTCTTCATATTGGAAATTTTAAATTTATATTATATATTTTTAAATTTATATTATATATTCAATATATATTTAAAAATATACTTAAATTTATATTCTCCTTTGAAATTTACTACATTTTGTCCCAAGTTTGTTGACTGTTATCTATGGGAAGATCATTTTTTATCTCTGGCACTTCTTAAAGTAGAATCTTATGTTTTTAATCCTCCTTCATAGACTCCCTGCAAACTCTGCTCCTGCATTAAAGTACTTAGTAGGTTAACTTCAAAAACCTTGACCACAGTGTGTCACAGTTCCTTATGGGTATAGCTTGAGTGAGTTATGATTATATACTCTTGAAAAAGTTGCTTTAGGAACCAGCAGATGGTGTAATGGTCATGTCACTGGACTCCCAGGTAGTCAATCGTGGTTCAAGTCCTGGACCCATTGGCTTGAAATTCACACTGGACGCATGTGTGTGCCCAAATCCCAAAAGGAGAATGGAGAAGCAGTGGGTTGCAGCATGGCCATCCCCTCAGGGGCTGATTTCTCACTGTCTTTCTCTGTCTCTCCAATGAGTGCACACACTTCAGCAAAAATCTTTTTTTTTTTAAAAGTCACTATTAGTGTATAAAGATATATAGTGATATTGAAGCTATTGTTTAAAAGAATTAGTGCTTTTAATTTGCCATAGGGCAAACTGGCACGCCTGGTCCAGGACTCAAACCACAGTCCACCATGTTGGAGACCAGTGCCCAACCACCATGCCACCTGCTGGCCCCTTCACTGTTTCCTTTTAGACAAAGAACTTTTCTTTCATTTTAGGGGACGTTTTTCTCTGCAGATTACTGAGCACTTACACTGCTGTCATTATTCCCAGCTGTCGTCGTCATTCTCACTTTATAATGAAGTCCCCATAGCTTGCCCACACAATTTTGTCACAGTCAGCTGCAGAGGCAGTCCTAAAATTCATGACTGAATGCACACTGGAGATTCATTTCTAACTTAAATGTAGTGTCCCAACTCCACGTTCCAGAAATGAGTAAAACATTGTATGCTTGGCTTTATTACTAAATGCCGGTCGTTACTTAAAACTATCCTAAAGGCACGTCTTCCTTTTCTTCCTCCTTTCTAGACATGTTCCTGAGAAGACAGCATTTTCCCCTAGGAGGCTGTGTTTCCACCTCTGGTGGATTTAGTAGATGGTCCTTCGTAGATACAGGAAAACGAAGCCAAGGTGACTTCTCCAGGTCGGCACTTTCGACTTCTACAGAGCGGCAAGACTGACACGCATCCTTACTGTTTATTGTACTTTGTAGATTTCCTCTCCAAAGTCTTACATATTCTGTGTTCTGCACTGTTAATAGGAACCTGTGGCATAATTGTAAATATTCAGCTTTTTGATAACTTTTATATTTTGAAATATCTCCTTTAAATAAAATCACATATTCGTAATGTTTTCCTGACTTTGAATACAGAAAAAGTTAGTAGCATTGAAGCGCACTGTCAAGTTCAAACAGAACAGATGTTTGCAGTATTAAAAGTTACGGCGCCAGCAGGTGGTGTGGTTAAGGCACCGGATCCCACACGGCTGGCATCGCAGTCTGAATCCTGGACCCAGCGACCTGAAAATCGAGCTTAGCACGTGTGTGCCCAAAATCCCGAGAAGAGACTGTAGTGTGGCCATCACCCCAGGGGTGTGTGTGGGGGGTGATTCCTCACTTTCCCTCTTTCACTCTGGCAAGTGCATGCACCCTATAGGAAAACTTAAAAAAAAAAAAAAAAAAAGTTTGTATAAATCAAGCTATTTATTTAGCAGAATCAGTCCCATAATCAAAACACCAAAAAGCAGTAAAACCGATCTTTGAAATGATGAACTATAGAGGTTTCTATCTGCTACATCATTCTATACATACGATGGGATTCCTATCACAAAATTAAATCCCTGTACTTCCCTCGAAGCACGTTATTTGGAATATTCCACGTGTGAAGGTTCCTTCACCACATCACACGTAAACGCTGTCCGAGGGAGTTGGTACTTATCCTACACGGGTACCCGCTTCCTTGTCCTCTAAGGCAGGCCACCAAAGTCTGAGAGCTGACAGAAATGAGTCCGTCAACTCTGAATGAGTCCGATGACAGTTTTAGAGAGCGGCTGGGCCGTGCCAAGTCACACAGCTCGTTACTGTGACATCCCGTGGTGGTCCCCTTCTCCCTGTGACTTACGACTGAAGTTGTAAGGTTAGGGGAGTAAGAACCGTAGGCACTTGGGATCTGTAACAATCTGCTGTTCCTTGTTAATAACTTCAAGAGGTTAAACGATGGGGCTGCAGGATTGGCAAAACTTAACCAGATGCAAGGCACAGCTGACAGTTTGTCACAGAGAAGAACATGGGCCGGTGGGCTTCAGAGAGACCAAGTGTGCAGTTTATGCTGCAAAGGGGACGCGTGGCAAGTGGCTTCGGGAGGACACTTGAGTCGTGGCTCCAACGAAGGTTCAATTCCAACGCAGACCACTTAGATTCACATCCGAACTGCTGTGTGGCCACCCACTGCCACCTACCAATAACTCGGCCATTCACTTCCCAGGCATAAGGGCTCCCGAGAGAAATCACACAGATCTATGTTGTCATCCCCTAATTCTACAAGAGATGTTATTCATCTTATACACAGATTTTGCCAATCTTGAGAGCATTCAACCTTATCAACAAAATCCTAGGGGCCAGCAGGTGGTGTTGCAGTTAAGGCACTAGACTCTCACATGGCCTTTCACAGTTCAAGTCCTGGTCCTGTTGGCTTCCTCGCTCGCTCGCTCTCTCTCTCTCTCTCTCTCGCTCGCTCGCTCTCTCTCTCTCTCTGGTGAGCACACACGCCCTATAGCAAATTTTTAAAATAATAAAATTAGATAAATAATTCTTCTTTAAAAATCCTAATGAACAAGCGAAATGCACTTGTTTAGGCTATAAACTTCTTTGTTTAGGCCATAAGATTGATTAAGTCCCTCTCCTGGGATACACAGAGCAACCAGGAAGACATGCCTTGCTACCCAACAGGAAGAGAAATAGAAATTCAAATGCTTTTAAAAAGTCATCTTCACTGAAGCAGAAGTTTCAACCAGGATATAACAAAGACAGGGACATGACTCTGTAGGAAAGGCTTCAAGCAGTGTTTATTTCCGTAACAAACTAATCACCGTGAAAGATATTCTTCACGCTAGTAAATGCACTTGAAATGTCTCGAGAACTTTCTATCTCATCTCGCAGACAAGACTGTCGGTCCCTCAGCTCCTTCATGGTAAAGAATTCGACCCTTATTTTACATTCCTTTTAGCGTATACCTCACAGAGGTAGCACGTACCTCTGAGCACTCACTGACAAGATTAAACATGAGCTAGACGCCTACATTCCAGGCGAGACCCACACCTCGCAGCCACTCCACCTGTCCAGTCAGAGGAGAAGCTGAAGTTTCAGGAGGCTTTGTGGAACTCACCACAGGAGAGACCTGGTCTCCCAGGGCCAAGGTAAACAAAAGCGAGTGTCCCCTTTGTCCCACACTACAAAGAGCCTAGACTCGGACCCAGCCTCGTCCCTACTGGTTTGAACCGGATGGGCTGAAACTCCAGAAGGCTAAGTTGCCTGGCAGCTCTTCCCCCCACCCTCCTGAAACGCTGTCCCAACAGAGATGCGGTCTGTGGTCGGCACTCACGGGGCGTGACGTTGGCTCTGCGACTGTCAAAGTTATGCTTCACACACCCGGTGAGTAGAGAACACAGGAAGCTTTCTTACCCAATCAGCTGCAAATCCATAACAAAAGTAACATACCAATATCATATTTCGCTGTACAAGATGAGAACCTTAAGAAAAATTTGTACAGGTATCAATGTAGCCTTCTGGTTCCTGATTTAGACAGATATTGGGCAGTGTACAAGAATACCCAGTTTGAGGTGGTGACTTTTTTGTATTATGATTTATTTACAAAATTTCACCCTATAATAGGAACTACCTTTTAAAAAAAATTGGTCCTATAAAGGCCATTAGGGTCAATCCTTAAGCCTACAAATGACGCCTCAGTGCCACTGCTCCCGGGCTCACTGTTAACGAACGTGACTCCGAAGCCCACACAGAGTTTCTGGTCACGTGACGCACGACAATCTCATTAGATTGACAGGGGACAGTGGAGGACCCGAGCAGTCCTATGGACCTCTATAAGAGGTGTACATGAGCTTACTGGTTCTACGCTTCTAGCTGTACTGGCTTGTTTATAATGGGACCACCAGGTCATCCCATTACGCTAAAACTGGTTCCCCTGGAAAAACAGGCTTTCCCTAGACCAGCTCGACTGGTCGGCATGGTGAGTAAAAAGTAGCTGTCGGTAGTGAAAAGCAGTTTCATTTCTTCGAACTTTTTCCTTTTCCTTTTTTGGACTCCTTATCTTTTTCTGGTTTTGCAGGCTTTGAAGATTTTGTCTTTTTCTGTAGGGAGGGAAAGTTGCAGAAGAGAGTTAATAGCTACATTTAAGAGTAAAAATAAGTTCATCTCTACAACAAATCTAATCTTTACCTGTAACTTCATTTAAAAAGAGGGAGTGCAAACATTGAGCTCTTGGAGTACCTCTACTCCTGATGAGCTTATGTTCAAGCAACAGCTGGACTAGTTACAGCCTTTGAAAAACCACAGGAAAAGCGCAAAAGCCACTTAGAATTTAGATCTAAGATACGCTTCCCATGTAAGGCAGTTCCTTAGATTTAGAACACAGGTATATTCAGGAAAGACAAAATAAGAGGTAATTTACAAATAAGGAACTGTTCACATGAATTCGTTTCCAGTTTCAGGTTGGAAATCTAAACACGAAGGGGGAAGAGAAGGAGAAAGCACTACAGTGAGGACCACTGTTGTTCCCCACACAGGCAAAGCGGAGTGAGGGGCAAGAACACAGACACACACAGCGAAGGCCAGAGGACACAGTTCGAACCTCTGCCTCACTGGGTGTGTAGAGGGCTGATGCCACAGCTGACTGCCATCTTTCCTAGCACGGCAAGGGTTGCCTGCCCCAGCAAGCCTCCGTGCCACCACTGGGCGAGATCCACGGCTACAGCTTAACACTAATGACCGAAGGGAGAAATGGTTCATGAAAAGTTTTTCTTGATGCCGTGCAAATATGTATCTATGGGCAAGCAAGCATACACCAAATGTAACACATGACCGGCCCGCAATCTGGTGACCAATTTCCTTCATGCCTGGCTATTCTACTATAAGAAGCTAACTTTATAAAAACGAAAACTGCACCTTCTCCGCCCTCAACCACAATGAACGAAAAACTTAAAATGTATTGGCCACTTACTCTGCTACTTCTAACAGTCCCTATTAATCACAAGGCGAGTTAGACACAGAAAAGGCCATCTCCTTTGAGGTTCTCCTGTCTGCACCTGAAATATTACCTTGATCATAGCATCAGTGTCTATCCCATCTTGGTCCTTCTCGTCAGATTGGGGGTCCTCTTCATGTACCTCTTCGCTGTACTCGGAATCCAGTGCAAGGCCTGGGCTGTGTCTAGAAGTCTTCATGGCCTGGAGTGAGTACGGGGCGAGGTGGGCTTCCTTATTGTAAGCTCTAGTGAAGGCTGCTTTCACCTACATGGAAGGAGCAAGGGAGTTCTGTAAAAACCTAAAAGCCAAATAGTTCTCTTTTTTTTTTAAGAATTATTCTTTTTTTTTTTTTTTTTAAATTCAACCAGAGAGGGAAAGTGAGAAAGCAAGCCACCAGATCCAGGACTTGAATTGCCGTCAGCCATCACGTGGGAGCCCAGTGCCTTAACCGCCATGCCACCTGCTGGCCCCACCAAACAGTTCTTGTGAACTCTGTAAGCTGAAAGTGAAATCCTAGGAATCCCTTGAAACGGTCCGGCCACAGTGAGGATCAAAGGCAGGAGCTGAGAACCAGCAGTGAGGAGGCTAGGGGTAGATTTCCTCCAGAGACAGTAAAAGGGGAGCTTAAAATGTCAGCTTCCTGGGCCAGCAGGTGCTGTGGTGGCTAAGGCACTAGATCCTCCATGTGAGTGTGAGTGCCTTTATCTATGGAGGAGTCCAGAGTTTTTCATGATATTCTTTGTTGTTGTTGTTGTTGTTGTTGTTGTTGTTGTTTTAATTTCCAGAGGGCACAAGCACTCACTCGCTGGAAAGAGAAAACCCCCTCTAGTGGAGTGTGGTCGCACCACAACCCTTTCTCCTGTTCTCCACCCCATCAGGATTTGGGGAACACACGCACGGATGCCCAACATGTTTTCAAGCTGCCAGGACAGAGCTGCAAACATGATTGGCCAGGTGGGATCTGGCTCCCCTGCACAAGGCTCAACAACTGTGCTACTGGGCCAGCCCTCTTGACAGTCTTCACGGAGCCCATGACTCAAAAAGATTAAGGTCATGGGACCAGCAGATGGCATAATGGCTATGACGCTGGACTCCCATGTAGTTGCCCGCAGTTGAGTCCTGGACCTGGTGGCTTAAACTCACGCTGGGCGTGTGTGTGTGCGTGCCCAAGACTCCGAGAGGAGAGTGAAGGAAAAGGGATTGCGGTATGGCCATCCCCCTGGGGGGTGATTTCTCGCTTTCTGTCTCTAAGTCTCTGTCTATCTTTCTGATGAGTGCACGTGCCCTATAGCAAAAACCTCTCCAAAAAAAAAAAAAAGATTAAGATCAATATTCGGGACTTTAAGCGCCACCCCACAGTCAGCTGTGAGGTCTGGCTCCCAACCCACAGAGCTTAACCACTGTGCCATGGACCAGCCCCAAAAGTAACTTTTTAAAAGTACTCTTAAAGGCATCCTGAGAAGTGCTGCTAGTGCAAAGCTGGCCATCACACCGTGACGGAGGACCAGTGGCCTACACAATTTACCTTGGGATCCAGCCTGGAAAAGGGACTGGGCCTGCCGCCCCAGCTGCTGACTTCCATAATGTTCTCGAAGTCCTCCTTCATCAGATAGTACGTGTCCATCAGCGCGACGACGTCCTGCACGCCTTCCGCCCCCTGCGAGGCCAAGGGCTGGACCAGTGCATCCCGCACGTGGGACAGGTAGTCCATGTTCACCGTCCTCTTGCTGGAGTGAGTTCTGCAAGCAGAAGAGACGTCGTAGTCAAGGACCGAGCACCACTCAAGTCACATTACCCACGGAAACACCGAGCCGGTGGAGTCAATGCAGTCGTGGTGCTGCCAGTGGGAGGAAAGCCTACCGGCTCCCGGCTGGGGTCAGGAGAGCCTGGGCCACACCAGCAAGGCCACGGAGACGTGTCGGCGTGCTCCAAGGAAGTCTCCCTCCCCGGGTCAGTGACTGAGAAACAATGTGGCTTCCACTGCCTTCGGTTCTTAAGGCCCACGCTACAAGTGCTTCTCTGTGCTCATACTTCTCAGGGCCTGGGAGATTGTGTGCTCGTAGAGAGTAGAATTATAGAAACAGAAGAAAGGAACTACCTGAGTTCAGCTGTAACCAAAAGTGGATCTGGGGACCGAACACATTAATATTCCCTCCAGGAACCAGATGGAGAAGTGAGACTGCTCAAGTAGTTCTTCACGTCAAAAACGAATCTCTAAAGTTGACCTAATATTTGTGTATGTGCACATTTTCTAAGTTTCTAAATTTTAACAAAATTATACCAAATAAAATTATTTTTGAACTCCCTGAAACTTGTCCAAGTGTATTAGTTTTCCATGATCTGAGTGGTCTCCTCCTGTTACAAGCTAGACTGTATTGCCCACCCTAAATGACAAGACCAGTTTACTACTAGAATAGGTAAAGACTAGTTCATTTCTTAAAGCAGTTCAACTTATTACTTTTTCTGAAGCTGAGAGGCTTTTCCTACTATGGAGTCATCAGAAAAGTCAAGGTGCATTTTTGCTTAGAAAAATATGTCACTACAGGGCGAGTAGGTGGAGTGGTAGTTGAAGCACTGGACTCCCACATGGCCAACTGTGGTTCAAGTCCTGGACCTGGCAGCTTGCTTTTCTCACTGTCCCTTTCTCTTTCTGTTCAAATTAAAAAATAGTAACAAATAAAGTTGCACAAGTAAAGAAATCTTTAAATACAGAAGAAGAAATCATAACTTTTCCGACGACCGAATAGTAATGGGCATAATCATAACAACAATAATAGAACTTCCTCAGGTTTATACAGTTTTTAAATTAATCTTAAAGTTATGATACACCAGGGCCAGCAGGTTGTGTGGTGGTTAAGGCACTGAACTCCCGCAAGGCCCACCACGGTTCAAGTACTGCACCTGGCAGCTTGAAAATCACACTGGGTGTGTGACCAAAATTCCAGGAGAATGGAGGAGAAGGGATTGCAGCATGGCCTTCCCCCATGGTGGCTGATTTCTCACTCTCCATCTCACAGTCTCTCTCTTCTCTGGTGAGTGCATACACACTCTGTGGCAAAAGCCTTATTAAAAAAATAAATAAATAAATAAAAAGTCAGGCTACATCTGGCATCTGGCTTTATTCTCCAGTACCCTTTTACGTGGTAATGCCAGTGTTACGCTGATTACAGATGGGAAAACTCGGGCCTGGGAACTTATTCAGGACCACTCACCTAGTCGGCAAGAGCATGCAAACTGAGATGTAGACCTGCCAACTTACGCTACCCGTACTGCATGAAAAGGCCACGATGGCGAAATACTGATACACCACACCAGAAGAAGCCGGAAAGGGCGCAGCTGCACCGACCTGAGACTCATATGCAGCGCCAGGTCCTGAACGATGCGGTCGTGTCTGCCCGTGGACGAGTGCTTCCCCAGCCAGCTTGGGAAGGCGGGAAACTGAGTCATGTACCCCCTCATCAACTCTCCGGGAAGAACGCTAGCATAAATGGCCTGCAAAAGTCAATTGGGTTCAGAAATTATACTCAGTTCAAAGTCACCTCCTCAGCAGCTGCTGCTTCCAAGCAGGCTAAGAAAAGGAAGCAACGTTGTCCCGGACGCCTGATTACAAGGCAACTGGCGCTTCCCCTGTAACGAGCTGTGGCCACCTCCTCGGTCTCACACGTGACATTATCTCAGGAAGATCAGCTTGCCATCCCAGCCTCCTCGACCCACTGATTCAGCACACAGACACACACCGATCTCGCAGCAAAGAATGAGCTCAGAGGAACTTCTCTGTCTAATAAATGCGACTGAATGGCACAGGTCAATGAAAGCATGAAAAGCCTAATAATTAGAGTATGCGTAAGTGCCATTTATCTTGAGATGTCCTCTGGGTCTGAAGTTTCCACTTCCCTCAAGGCTGGAATGGTAGCGTTTGCCCTCTGCTCTGCTCTAGGACTGCTCTCTCCCTTAGGTCACCGTCACTAGGGATGCTGCATCAAGAGAGTGACCACGACTCAGCATCCCCTGCTGCTGGACATGGAGGTTTTCTCCAGGATTCTGCTCAGAACAAATGCTTCAGGGAATAGTTTTTTACACTGAGCTTTCCCTGTGTTTAAAACTATTTCTTCAGATAAATCCTCAAAGGTACAATTATTACGTAAAGAAATAAACTCTTCAAACATAAGAGAACAAGCTCTGAATGTCTAGAATGCCTCTCCGAGTTTTCAAGCAATGTGTGGGGAGAATGAAGAGAAGGGCAGGCTTTCTGCAAGTCCCGCGCTCATACCCTCGGGCCAATACCCTACACAAATACGTAAAACTCAAATAAGAATAAATAACACTCTTACTTATGAATGTTTTCCAAACTGTTTTGAATTGAAGATATCATCCTAAACACAGTACCCAGGATAAAGCTGCTGCTTCAGTGAGGATGGAGAAGTCAGCATTCCGCTCTCGGAGGGAAGGCTGCTGGCCTGCCCACTCCGTTCTCGGAGGGAAGGCTGCTGGCCTCCCACTCGGCTCTCGGAGGGAAGGCTACTGGCCTGTACCAGCAATTTCTTCAAGGAGAAGCTAATGAATGACCACCAGGGAGAGCCAAGAATGACAAGAAGGAAATTAATTCTTGGACCAGCCCATGAATTAAGGTGGCTCAGTCCCACATGGCTGGCTGCATGGTTTGAGTCCAGGGTCTGGTGGCTTACAGAACGCCAGGGCACACGTGCATGCTCAAAATCACAAAAGGAGCAATGGAGACTGCGCTCTCACTTTCACCTTTCTCTTTTTCTTTCTCTCTCTCCCAGTTAGCACGCATGCCCTTTAGCAAATAAAACAAAATAAAACTAGACTAATAAATAAATAAATAAATAAATAAATATTTACCTAAACAAATTTTTTTTCTGCCAAGGTCAGAAAAAAGAAGAAAGAAATAGATTCTTATGGTAAAATACAGCAAATTAAATTTTTGGTTTTCATCTTAGTCGCAACCATAACCCTATTTCCATGGGTCCATTCACATAAAAACATGTTTTGAAGTTTATTTTTTCCATGACCAAGAGAGACAACAAGAGAGACAGAGACAGAATCCCCGACAGGGTTGTGATGCACTGATCTACCCCTGGCCCTTAGATGCCCTAGGTCATGGACACACGGGTGCCCAGCATACTTAGGGAAGTCTCTGGGACTTGAACCAGGAAACTTCCCATGTGAGTGAGCCTCACAGAGCGTCATGGTCAGCACTGCACCACCACCTGGCTCTCTAAAATCACTTTTGAAACACAGAAAACCACCAGATGACGAAATAGACAACAGTGCTCACGGGGTATTTTAATCTGAAACAGATTGTATTTCTGCCATAAGAGCCACAATGTGTATCTGGTATTTCAAATCATGACAGGAGCTAAAAGCTATTTCGCTCTTTAACTGAAACAGAGCCAGCACTGTAAGGAGAGCCCTGTACTCACCTGTGTGGGCAGGAGACTCCAGTTTTGCTTACTCCGGATCTGACTATCCACCAGGTCGCCATCACATATGCTATCTGCTGCTCGGCTTAAGAGCATCAAGTGCTTTTTCATGTACGCGGTTCTCGGAGGGAAGGCTACTGGCCTGTACCAGCAATTTCTTCAAGGAGAAGCTAATGAATGACCACCAGGGAGAGCCAAGAATGACAAGAAGGAAATTAATTCTTGGACCAGCCCATGAATTAAGGTGGCTCAGTCCCACATGGCTGGCTGCATGGTTTGAGTCCAGGGTCTGGTGGCTTACAGAACGCCAGGGCACACGTGCATGCTCAAAATCACAAAAGGAGCAATGGAGACTGCGCTCTCACTTTCACCTTTCTCTTTTTCTTTCTCTCTCTCCCAGTTAGCACGCATGCCCTTTAGCAAATAAAACAAAATAAAACTAGACTAATAAATAAATAAATAAATAAATAAATATTTACCTAAACAAATTTTTTTTCTGCCAAGGTCAGAAAAAAGAAGAAAGAAATAGATTCTTATGGTAAAATACAGCAAATTAAATTTTTGGTTTTCATCTTAGTCGCAACCATAACCCTATTTCCATGGGTCCATTCACATAAAAACATGTTTTGAAGTTTATTTTTTCCATGACCAAGAGAGACAACAAGAGAGACAGAGACAGAATCCCCGACAGGGTTGTGATGCACTGATCTACCCCTGGCCCTTAGATGCCCTAGGTCATGGACACACGGGTGCCCAGCATACTTAGGGAAGTCTCTGGGACTTGAACCAGGAAACTTCCCATGTGAGTGAGCCTCACAGAGCGTCATGGTCAGCACTGCACCACCACCTGGCTCTCTAAAATCACTTTTGAAACACAGAAAACCACCAGATGACGAAATAGACAACAGTGCTCACGGGGTATTTTAATCTGAAACAGATTGTATTTCTGCCATAAGAGCCACAATGTGTATCTGGTATTTCAAATCATGACAGGAGCTAAAAGCTATTTCGCTCTTTAACTGAAACAGAGCCAGCACTGTAAGGAGAGCCCTGTACTCACCTGTGTGGGCAGGAGACTCCAGTTTTGCTTACTCCGGATCTGACTATCCACCAGGTCGCCATCACATATGCTATCTGCTGCTCGGCTTAAGAGCATCAAGTGCTTTTTCATGTCACCTCTGCAGAGAGAACCAGTCTGGATTACACCACTACTCACACCCAGGCCTTCGCAGTATGAGGAAGATACAAATCCTACCCCTCACTAGTTCTGACACTCACCCTGCAGCTACAGGCTTCACATGGATGTAGTTCTCCTGGACAAAGAGGGGTGCTATGGAATAATCGTGAAAAAAGAGGTCTGACTTGTCCACAAGAGACATATGAGCAGTCTCCTCTCCAGCTGCAAACACTTTCCGAGCAACATCAAATGGGCCCTAGAAAAAGAGAGGCATATGCATACATCCATCCATCAATTAGAACGGCTGAAATCCAACACACTGATAATACTGAATGCTGATATGAAGCAACAGGAACTCTCATTCATTGCTGGTGTGAATATAAAATAGTACAGCCCCTACCTACGGAGACAGTCTGGCAGTTTACTACAAAACTAAACATATATATATTTTGAGAGGTTTTAGCTATAGGGCGCGTGTGCTCACCAGAAAGAGAGACAGAAAGTGAGAAATCACCCCCGGGGGGATGACCACACTGCAATCCTTCTCCTCCATTCTCCTCTCGGGATCATGGGCACGCACGCACACGCACCCAGCGTGAGTTTAAGCCAGCGGGTCCAGGACTTGAACTGCAGTCGACTACACGGGAGTCCAGTGACATAGCCATTACGCTAACTGCTGGTCCCATCTAAACGTACTCTTACCATCTTATCCAGCAGTTGTGTTCCTTGGTATTTAGCCAAATGAACTGAAAACTATGTCCATGCAAAAAACTGCACACAGGCTTATGGCAACTTTATTCAAAAACTGCCAAAAGTTGGAAGCCACCAAAATGTCCTTCGGTGGGTGAATGGATACACAAGCTGAGATGCAGTCAGACAACGGGGTATTATTCAACAATAAAAAGAAATAAGCTGTTGGGTCAGCCAATGGGATGGTGGTTATTAAGGTGGCTGGATCCCACATGGCCAACTGTGCAGTTCGAGTCCCGGACCCACAGGTTTGAAAACTCATGCTGGGCACGTGTGCATGCATGCCCCGCACCCCAAGAGGAGAACGGAAGAGAAGGGAATTCACCACCTAGAGGTTGATCTCTCTCTATTCGGCAAGCGCACATACCGTAAGCAAAACTAAAAAGATTTTCTGTAGCAAAATGTAATCGCCAAAAAAAAAATTCAACGCTAAAGTACACCGTGGACTGTGGGTGACAAGATGATGTGTCCTTCGATTATGGGCCACCCTGGAGGAGGACGCCGACAGTGGGAAAGGCTGTGCATGTGTGGGGGACAGCAGGTACAGCTCGGTACCTTCTGCTCAAGTATGCTGTGAACCTAAAACAGCTCTATGAGATAAAACGTACTGATTAAAAAAAAGCCTAATTTGAACTAAAAACACTTTCAGTAGCTATCTATAGCCTGTGGGTTCTACAGGTGTATCAAGGAACTGTAATAACTATTTCTATTGAGCTAATACCTACAGAGCAAGCAGCATTGTGGCCTGGAAGAGCAACTAAGAAATGGGAATCCATTTTACCAGTTTGATGTCCTTTTTGGCCCTGTGCGAATCCGCCTTGGCCTGGTCATAGCTTAGTGCCTTACTTCGTGCACACCACATACTCAGATTGTGCAAAACCTAAAAACAAAAACCACAAATAAGATGACATCAAGACGGGAAAACGCTGCCACTCCCCACCCCTGCAAGGTGGAAGACACTAATTCAAGAGCAACAGCTGCCGTAAAAGATAGACTTGATTTACCTGTCTGATATCTTGATTCGCTCCCAAAATTATTTCATTCATAGCTGGAGGGGGGATCTTTAAGCCCTCCTTAAATGCAATAGACATCATAGCACCCTGAAATTGACAAGAGGGGAGAATCTGTAAAAACCTTGTTTAAAAACTCATGTAATCAGGTATTTTAAAATGATCTATCAGGTACTTTCAAAAACTGACCTTAAATAAATAGGGTGGAGAGACAGAAAAAAAGTTTAATCATCATACCTTAATCTGTTCAAGCCGAGGTCTTTGAAAACGAAGATCAAAACAGTAATGAACCAAAGAACGAATCTTGGGATGATTTCTATCATTGCACATACAAATAATGGGAATCTTAGTATGTTTTATCAAGCCAATTAATTCCTGAAAGGCAAATTTGCAATACAAAAACAATTATTTTAGAAATAACAAATACCACACAATATTCTAATATTTTAGGTTTTAAAAACCTCCTCAGCCTCATGCCTCCGCTGCCATAAATATCAGTGCATGGTTTTTCTTAAAAATCTACCGATCAACAGAACTGTGGGACGACAGTGCCCTCGGTACCTGGATGCCTCCCCTGTCCTCGTTGCCGGCCATGCCATCCACTTCATCCATGATGAGGGCGTGCTTCGAGCTCACGGAGGGGACGGCTCCGCCTGGCCAGGTGGAGAAGCAGTGAGGTAGGGACAAAGACAAAGAAACTATTGCTCAAAGCTGCTCCGTCATACACGGAAAACTGCACAGCACACTTAAATTTCAAACGAATCCCATTTCTCTTCCCAAATGAAGCCTTTAAGAAACATTCAATACATATTATAAATGTGTAGAGATGAGCAGGTGATTCCTGGATTCCCACACACCCAGCAGTGGTTCGAGTCCCAAACATGGTGACTGGCGGGACCAGCAGTTAACGTAACGGCTATGTTGCTGGACTCCCATGTAGTTGACTGTGGTTCATGTCCCGGACCGGGTGCCTTAAAACTCACGCCAGGCGCATGTGTGTGCGTTCGTGCCTGAGATTCCGAGAAGAGAATGGAGAAGGGATTGCAGCGTGGCCATCCCCCCCGGGGGTGATTTCTCGCTTTCTGTCTCTCTGTCTCTGTCTGTCTGGTGAGCGTACATGCTCAATGACAAAAATCTCTCTCAAAAAAAAAAATGGCAGCTTGGAAATCATACCAGGCGTGTGTGTGTGCGTGCCCAAAATCCTGAGAGGAGAATGGAGGAAAAGGGATTGTGGCATGGCCACGTGGGATCCAGTGCCTTAACCTCCACACTTGCTGACGTGTTCTGCATTTCAAAAAGCCTCGAGGACCTAAAAAGAAGGTAACTCCCCATCCATGAGTTATATCCGGTCCTCTTACCCCGTTAGCCCAGCACTTCGCCGGGTACGTCACGCACAGCAGCGCTCAACACCAGTCACCACACATGGAGGTGAACTGCTTTTCTTACGTAACAAGAGCAACGGCAAAACAGTTCGAAAAGCCACGTACTTGAACAGAAGCCTTCGATGCTGGTGTTGTTTAATGATTCGGCAACAATCGACTTCAAACTGTTCTTACTGCGAGTGTCACTTGCATTCAGTTCCACGTAGCTATATCCCAATTCCTAATCAAAAAATAGGCGACCGTTACAATCACAATGCAAAAAGATTCAACAGTTCCTTCTCCCCCAAAAAAGGCCAGTTAAGGGAAAAAGAGACTAGAAACCTGAGTAAAAATAAAAAGTATGACTTTAATACACAATGTGATTAACTATCATAAGCCTCAATATTAGACATTCCTAAAGTATCATATGCACATACGGCACACACACACGTGAACACACACTTGGTCTGAAAAGCCGAGCTGGTAAACCTCTCATCTGGAAGGGAGCACTCTGCATGTGCGCGCGACAGTGCGTGTGGTGCTTCAGATCACTCGAGCACCTCGCTATCCTGTGAGCCTCCTGCCTCAGCCTCCCGAGTACTGGGTTCACACGTGTGTGCCCCACACCCAGCTCTTTCACACAGGGTCTCACTTTGTCATGACCCTCTTGCCTCAGTGTCCCCAGGAGCTGGCATGAAGGGCGTGTACCACTGTGCCTGGACTCTAGGGGTGGGCTCCCGTGTGGCCTCAGCCCACTGTGCAGCAGCACCCAGAGCACACTCCTGCGGCCAGGCCAGCAGAGCAGATGGGAGCAAGCACTTTACTAAGCTTCCCTCTTAAGGCCCTAGAAAGAATTCAATATACTCTTCCCGAGAATTCAGTGGGAGGCTGAACTAATCTGCTAGAACACACCAAGGAGTGATTCTTGCCTCTTCAAGATAAATGCCAAAGGCAAATCCATCTATGTCAAACAAATGCAATATGCAACTTTCCTCTTAGAGCATGAATATTCAAGTTATTATGATTCATTTCCCCAAAATTGATCAGTTTATAAAATGTTCTAATTCTCCAAAAAGATAATAACGAAAGAAAAAAGAGTCATATTCACAATTACAAAAACAAGGGAAATTTTCTTTTGCTTTATATTTTTAATTTGCCAGAGGCCATGTGTGCCTACCAGAGACAGAGAGAGGAGAGAAACCATCCCTCAAACCCCTCAGTGGGAATCTGGCCACACCATAATCCCTTCTCCCCCAGTTCTCCATCCTGTCAGGATTCGAGGCATACATGCACACAAGCTTGGCATGTTTTCAAGCCACCAGGCCCAGGATTTGAACGACACAGTCGGCCATATGGGGCCCAGCCCCCTTAGCCAGTATGCCCTGGCACTGCTATTTTGCTTTTCTATTTAATATTTATAAGTACAGTGAAATACATACAAAATTTTATATTTCAGTTTTCATTCTGGTCCATACAAGACCAAAAGACATCACCAGCTTAGAAGGCAGAAGGGAACTCGGCAATCCGGTCACGATCCCTGCTTTACTCGGCCCACAGCAACATGCTGGTGGGACCTGCCCAGGGCTGTGGCACATCGTCCTCGCTGTCTACAGCTCCGGCAGCCGAACAGGCAAGGACGAAGGTGGCATCCCTAGGTGGGGAGCAGCAGAAACCCTGAGTCGGAGCACCGGGGCTCAAACTGTGCCACCAGCTCTTCTCTCAGCCTGTTCCTTCTGTCCCATGAAGACGTACTTAAATCGAGCACACAAGATTCAGTACAGACAATCAGTACAAGGGCATATGAGATGTCTCCGTCTTCGGGATCTACAACCTGGAAGATAATGCCCCCGAGTGCTTAGCACACCGCCTGGCTCACAGGCAATCACCTGGTGGTGTAATGAGCACTACTAAAGGAGGATGGGGGGGGACAGGTGGTGTAGTGGTTAAGGGGCTGGACTCCCACGTGGTCAACCGCAGTGAGTCTCAGACCTGGCTGCTTGAAAATCACACCGAGCACATGCGTGTGCATACCCCAAATCTCAGGAGAATGGAGAAGGGACTGTGGTGTGGCCGTCCCCAGCTCAGGGGTGATTTCTCATTCTCTCTCTCTCTCTCTGGTGAGCACACGTTCCCTATGGCAAGAATAAACCAACAAAAAGGATAAAAATGACAAATATCACCAGCACCAAAGCAAATTCTGAAGGTGAGCTTTTAGAACACGCAGGTTTACACACGGCACACCACACACGCAGACTCATGTCCACACAGGGCCACTCCCCGACTACCTCCCCACGGCACGGTCACGGAGCACCCACCTGACACACCAGAGACGCTGTGGTGGTTTTGCCGACACCCGGAGGGCCCGAGAGCAACGCTGCTTTAAAACTAGAGCCATCGTCTTTGCCGGCGAATTTCCCAAACCTTGCTGCTAGGAGAAAAGGAAATTCCGGAGCGTTAACCTCTATCACCTACAGAAATTCAGGAATGAAAGCGACAGCTGTGCATACACTTCAGAGACAGCGATCCTCCGGTTTAGTTCTAAATTTGCAGGATGTTGTCTAGAAAGATGAACAACGGCTTTCAGTGTCTTTAGTGAAGTTCTCCCCCCACCTCGCCTCCACCCAAAACAAAATACGAAAACAAATGTACTTTAAAACACTGATTTGAAACAATTTTAGGAGTTTCCCTTCCTACCACAGCACAGGCCTCTGAGCATGCTGCCTGGGCTCCTGCTCTCACCTCACCTACCGGAAGGCTGTCCCTCCTCGGCCGGGAGTACGCTAAGCTGGGCTTGCACCCTCTGTGCCTGCCTCCTCCGTAAAAGGAGAACATGACAGTAACGCCGTTGGGAGGGAAGTCGTGGGATGGAGGTGCTCAGCACAGACCCCAGCACCCTCGGCTACAGGGTCACGGAAACAAGGAACGGCTGAAGATGTGTCTGCAGCTGTCTCGCACAGCTCCTCACACGCCGCTCTCCTCTCCTCGGCCCACGGCTGCCCGGCACACAAAGGGTGCTCCGCCATGAGGGAGGAGTGGTTCAGCCCAGACAGAGCACCTGGAGCCTTAAAAATTCCCCTCCAAGCTCACAAAACACATGCACCTCCTTTCAAGGCAGATATTATGTGGTTTCAGAAGGAGAAAAGGAGCCGACTCACATTCAGCCCCGTCATGAGAGGTACACCATCTACCTGTCATAAACGCACTGCCTCGTCAGGGGTGAGTGACGGCCACCCAGAGATGGACAGCCCAGCCATCGCTAAGGGATTGGCTGTGATGCTCACGAGGCTTTTTTCGTTTTTACGTTTTTGCCATAGGGTGGTGCATGTGCTCGCCACAGAGAGAGAGAGTAAAAGGGAGGAATCACTCCCCAGGAGGATGGCCATGCTGCAATCCCTTCTCCATTCTCTTCTCGGGATTTTGGGCACACACACGTGTCCAGCATGATTTTCAAGATGCCAGATCTGGGACTTGAACTGTGGTTGGCAACGTGGGAGTCCAGAGCCTTAACCACCACACCACCTGCTGGCCCCAATGCTTGCAAAATGTTGCCTTCTCATTTCTTACACATTATTCCCCAAGGCTGTGGTTGAAGCTTAAGACAACATTCCTAACACTTACGACCTGAGGCCTCAGTTACAAAATCATTTTGGCATTAAATACTTTTGTGGTTTTTCATTTTCCAGGACAAATACACCGAACTCCAGGACATAAACTGCAGAAGCACAGGCCTACCACGAGCAGATCAAACACCCTCCCGGGATCCCGGCTGCCTGTTCTGCACACACATCTGGGCGAGGTACTCACGTCTCTCCCCGGTGCACTTGACAATCTCAAGGGTCCTGCTCTCGCATGTCTTCAGACCTTAGGACACGTACTTTGTCTCACCCCACACCCACCTCTCCCTTAAACTAGCTACCTGCTACGCAGCTCCCAAGTCCTACTTAGCTTCCTCTCACCTTCGTCCAGAGACGGAGGGTCCGTCCCCATCCCTGACCTCCACCCCTGCACCACCCCGCATGGGAGCCCATGACAAGATGTGGCACGTGCATTTTCAGGGCTGGCTCGTATGTCTCCCCGCTGACTGTGAGCACCTGAGGGAGACGGTGTTCTGTCTGCACTGCCACCAGGGCCTAGCACGGCACTGGGGTGCAGAGCAAGCTCTCAGTGAACGCTTGCTGACGGAGGAACAAATGCGTGTGTCCCACTGAGCCAGCACTGACAGACGCACACGGAAATGAGCAGAACTGTGACATCACCGTGCTTTTTATCTGCAGACGGACTCTCGTGCCAGTTCCGGAGCCAGCGCAGGAGTTTGTTGGCACAGCTCTGGTCGCCCTGCTGCCCGATTATGGTCTTGAGCGAGGTGGGCTTGTACTTGTCCACCCAAAGCAAGCTCTCCCCTTGGCTATCGCTGCTGTCGTCAGCCAGGTCCCCAGCCTTGCTGTCTACAGGTGTCCCCTGGGCCACCTGCTCCCTGAAGTCCAGGCCTCTCCGAAACACACTTGTTTCCTTCTTTGACTTGACAGGGCTGTCCTTTTTGGGAGTCACCTTCATCTTTTTAGACGCTGATTCATTCTTAGTTGGACTAATTTTTCTCTTTCCTTGGTCTTTTTTCTGAGGTGTCCGCTCCAATTTGGACTTTTCCTTCTTCATCTTAAAAAGTAGACGAGAGAGAAAAAGAAATACGATAAGACATACGGACTTTCTATCCTGCTACAGGTGCTCCAGAGGGCAATCGGGTAGCGCTGGTCCTTGCTGATGAACCCTGCTGTGCAGAAACTGCTGCCTTTCAAACATTACAAAGATCAACAACAAACATACCAAAATGCACTCAGTGGCAATTTTTCAAAGAGAGAACATATTGGTTTTTTTTAAAGTAGTAAGTATTCAGGGGCTGGCAGGTGGCATGGTGGTTAAGGGCACTGGACTCCCACATGGCCAACTGCAGTTCGAGTCTCGGACATGGCAGTTTGCTTTCTCACTTTCCCTTTCTCTCTCTCTCTCTCTCTCTCTGGTCAAATTTTTTTTAATTAGTACATAAGTAAATAAAGTTAAATAATTCTTTTTTAAAAAAAGTGGTAAGTATTTCAATTTTAGTTTGAAAAAGCAGGGCAAAAGGATAAGAGATTTTTGTTTCCGTTTCCTGACTAAAAAAACTAATGCTGGGACAGCTCTGAGGCCTGGTGGATAAGGCAGCCAGACTCCACATGACTGAGTGTGCAGTTCAAGTCCCAGACCTGATAGCTTAAAATACATACCGCACGTGTGTGCATGCCCACAATCCCAAAAGGGAGACACAGAGGAGAAGGGGCTGCAGCATGACCGTTCCCCAAGGGAGATGCTTTCTTCTCCCTCTCTCTGCCTCCAGTGAGCACACATGCCCACACCACAAAAAAAAGGCCAACGCCTCGGGCGCTGGGTGGCGGCTCAGCACAGCATTATTACTGCGTCCATCCCCAGGGCCTCTCCGACACTCAGGGCTCGCTAGCGTCTGTGATCCAGGCAGGCTGAGACTGGACGGTGGGTCACGGTGTGGGGGTACCCGTCTGTCTCTTTCTCTCTTTGGCTCTCTCTTATGAAAGATTTTTTTTTTTAATGTATTAACAGTAATATTTTTTAAGAATTATTTTATTTTTAATTTTATTTATTTAATTTGACCAGAGAGGGACAGAGAGAGCAAGCGAGTGAGAACAAGAAAGCAAGCCGCCAAGTCAGGGACTCGAACCGTGGTCAGTCAGTGGAAATCCAATGCCCTTGCCACCACACCACATGCCGCCCCGAAAGAAATTTTTAAAAATACCTGTCCAAAAATTGTACACAAATGGCATTACGTGTGTGTGTATACTATTTTATATATATATATATACACACACACATATATATATATTATACACAAACAAACATATATATTTGTTTGTGTATAATATTCCAAAGGATAGAAACCCAAATGTCCACTCAATGATGAATGGATTTAAAAGATATTCTATACACACACGCAATAAAATATTATTCACCTATAAAAAGGATGAAATACTGATTGATACATGCTACGAAAGAGGAAAACATGAGACCATTATGCTAAGCAAAAAAAAAAAACAGACATAAAAGGCCACGTGTTGTGAGATCCTATTTACATGACACTTCTAGTAGAAATTAGCACAGCGACTATCCCGGGACGGGTATGAGTGACTGTTCATGGGTACAGAGGTTTGGGGGGGCCGTGAAAACATTCTGGAATGAGACAGTAGTGATGGCTGCACACTCTTATGACTATACTAAACACCACTGACTTAAATACTTTAAAACTGCATTTGATATGTGAATACTATCTCAAGGTTTTAAAGTCAGTGCCTCTTTACCAGAATATACTAAAACTGGTGAGTGAGTGTTTCAGGAGAAACAGGGTACCAGCGTAGTTTTAAAACATCTCCCCAGGTGGGCTCTGTGGCATGGTGGGGAAGGCAGCGAGATCCAACATGGCTGCCCTGCGGTTCGAGTCCTAGACCCAGCAACGAGAAACTCGCCAGGCACATGTGCATGCATGCTGGAAATCCCAAGAGGAGGGAGAGATGGAGGGAAAGGGACTGTGGCATGACCACGCCCCATACAGAGTGCCTTCTCACTTTCCCTCTCTCTCCGTTTCTCCGTGGCAAGCACACATGCTAACAACCAAAGTTTCTCCCCCAGACAGCGTGAATTACAAAGGCCAACAGTCACTTTACAAGTGGCGAAACCCAGCAGACATCATCTTCACCAAGTAATGAAAGTTGTTGTCTCCAATAACTTTGGACATCATGCAAATATGGTGTGATGGAGGCCAGCAGGTGAAATGGTAGTTAAGGTACTGGACTCCCTCACGGCCAACTGCGGTTCAAGTCCCGGACCTGGGGGCTTGAAAATCATGCTGGACACGTGTGTGCACCCAAAATCGCGAGAAGAAAATGGAGGAGAAGAGATTGCAGCGTGGTGACTGCCCCTGAGGGGTGAGTGTAGTCAGTAGATATGTTATGAGCAATCCACTGTCCTGTCCCTCGGAAGTGTGCTGAGAGGTGAAGGAAGCCCACCAAAGATGACTGCCAGCCCGAAGGGAAGTAAGTTTATCCGTGGCAGAAGCAGAGGTTAATCTTTTAACCACCACGCCTGTCCCCACCCAAAGCGCGTCTAGGAGACAGGAAAGCTGCTGCACACCAGTTTAAACAGATCGAGCTCACTTTATACAGACCTCGGCTTCAGCTGCTATCTCATACTTGGACTTCTTGCCTGGCATCGTCCGGATCAGATCCAACAGGCCATCTTCATCAATAATTTTTGTCCCCAAGGCTGCAGCCTATTGATCAGAAATGCAAATCATCAAAACTGCATCCAGGGAACCAGCAGTTAGTGTAATGGCTATGTCGCTGGACTCCCACGTAGTCGACTGCAGTTCGCGTCCCGGACCTGGTGGCTTAAAACTCACGCTGGGCGTGTGTGCGTGCGTGCCCAAGATCCCGAGAGGAGAATGGAGGAGAAGGGATTGTGGCGTGGCCGTCCCCCCTGGGGGGTGATTTCTCGCTTTCTGTCTCTATGTCTCTCTCTGTCTGGCGAGCGTACGCGCCCTATAGCAAAAATCTCTCCAAAAAATAAAACACTGCATCCTAACCATTCCTTTCTTTAATAAAAAGAGTCTGGGGCCTATTAGTAGGTAAAAACCCACATCTGTAAATTAGATAACACTAGAATACAAAACAAAAACGATGATAACACATTCATTTAAAAGTACTGTTATATAGAAAGAAAACTTACACGTACCCTATAGCAAATTAAAAAAAGAAACAAAGAAAATGGGTCAGCCCATGGAGCAGTGGTAGAGGTGGCTGGCTCCCACATGGCCAACTACACGGTCAAGCCCTGAACCTAGCGGCTCCAGAAGCATGCTGGGCATATGTGCATGGATCTCCTCCACCCTGAAAGGAGGCAGAAATGGAGGCGGGTTACGGTGTGACCGTTCTCCCATGGAGAAGTGATCAGTCGAGATCGATTGATTCATCTCTGTGTCTCTCTCCCTTCCTCCCTCTCTCCCTCCCTTTGTCCTTTTATTTGTTCATTTATTTTAATTTGACCAGAGAGAGACACACAGAGAGAGAGAGAGAGAGAGGAGAGGGAAAGTGAGAAAGCAAGCCACCAGGTCTGGGATTCAAACTGTGGATGGCCATGTGGGAATGTCTAGCACCTTAACCAACACACCACCTGCTGGTCCCTGGAAATTTTTAAAAGTTAATACCTGTCCAAAAATTGTACACAAATAGCATTACGTGTGTGTGTGTTTGTATACTATTATGTGTGTGTGTGTCTCTGTCTCTCTCTCCCTCCCTCCCTCTCTATCTCTGTCTCTCCAGTGAGCCCATATGCCCTCTGGCAACATTTAGAAGAAGAAAAAAAAAAGGGCAGATACATTTCACAGGACTAGTAGGCTGGCGCTTTAAGAATCATGTTACTATCCTGGGGAACTGCTTTCCTCCCCTAGAAAAAGGCGAAGCCCCTAGGGCCTAGGCCCAGCTCTTTCCACCCTCCCCATGTCTCACTCATGTCTCAGCACCTTCTCCCTAACAGGACCCCAGTGTATCCACCTCAAGTGATGCACATGACTGGTCCGAGGCAATCAGAAAGCCCTGATCTCCCATGTGACAGTTCTGGCCAATGCGACTGAAGTGGGAGATGTGTTTCTGGGAGAATTCCTGCCAAGCCAGTCAGCCACTCTGACACCTCGCCACTGCTCCCTCTCGGCAGCCTCGAATGGAAACCTGAATGCCCAGAGCTGCAGCTGCTCTTCCAGTGCAAGGCAACGTGCTTGAGGACTCGAGCTAACACAAGCGACAGAGGTGGGACATGGAAGTAGCCTGGTTACGTTCCAGAGCTGCTGAACGATCCCCAGCAGCTGCCTGCCTCTGAATTCTTCTTAGGTGAAGTAAGTAAGCAGCAGCTGTTTATCAGTTGGGAATTCTGTTCTTGGAGCTCAACACAATCCCACGCAACAGAACTCTAGTTTTTACCATAATGGCTTCAAATAAGAAAATAAGATGGAGGGCCAGACAGCAGCACAACGGTAAAGTGACATTTTACAAGGTGAGCCCATATGAGAAGGTTCCAGGTTCACGTCAGAGACTCCCTGAGGATTCCGGACACATACATGCCCATGATCTGGCTGCCCATGATCAAGATTCTGCTAGAGAAGCTGTCTCTCTACTTGTCTCTCTCTAGCTCGCTCGATCCCTCCCTTAATCACCATGTCACCTGCTGGCCTGGTTTAAACACATTATTTATAGGGGACCAGCAGTTGGCGTAATGGCTATGTTGCTGGACTCCCACGTGGTTGACCGCGGTTCGTATCCTGGACCCGGTGGCTTAAAACTCACGCCGTGCGCGTGTGCGTGCGTGTCCAAGATCCCAAGGGGAGATTGGGGGAGAAGGGATTGCGGCGTGGCCATTCCACCTACGGGGTGATTTCTCGTTTTCTGTCTCTCTGTCTCTCTCTTTCTGGTGAGTGCACACACCCTATTGCAAAAGAAAAACAAAACTCTCCAAAAAAAATTAAATTAAATTTTAAAAAGTAAGATGAAGGGGCCAGCAGTTAGAGTAATGGCTATGTCGCTGGACTCCCACGTAGTCGACTGCGGTTCGAGTCCCGGACCCGGTGGCTTAAACTCACGCTGGGCACGTGTGCATGCGTGCCCAAGGTCCCGAGAGGAGAATGGAGGAGAAGGGATTGCAGCGTGACCATCCCCCCTGGGGGGTGATTTCTCACTTTCTATCTCTCTGTCTGTCTCTGTCTGTCTGGCGAGCACACGCGCCCTATAGCAAAAACCTCTCCAAAGAGAGGGAAAAAAAAGTAAGATGAAGTATCCAATAGCATATACACCCAGTTAGGACTAGAAGAAAAATAAAACTGCATTTGTTTCGGTCTTTCAGAAAAGAAAAAAAGAGATTTAAAGTAGGATACTCTAAGAAAGTCAAGCAAACAGGAACTGAGTGTTAACTGAGAAGCCAAAATCCTGGGCTCGAAGCCAACGACACTTCTGTGGAGAAGGAATAATGCAGGGAAAAGCCATTTTTCTTTCTCTTGGCTCTGTGTAAAGAGCATTAGTACAAATTGGTCACGTTAAGAGCGTGCCAAGGCCAGCAGCACGCTCGCTCAGCCGAGGACACAGCAGTCCCCACCTTATCGCTCTTGGACTGCCCGCTGTCACGACCCATGACCAGGTAGTTCGTCTTCTTGCTGACATTTCCTGTGACTTTGCCCCCATAGCGCTCAATTAGAGACTTGGCCTCGTCCCGTTCAATGGACTCCAGCACTCCTGTGATGACAAATGTAAGGCCTTCCAAGCAATTTTCAGCTCCCTAAAAACCGAAATGTTCAAGCAGAGAGGAAATTACATAGTCACTTCCCAAAGAAATATTTGGCATCAAAACTGCAGGAAGTTCATATTTTTCATTTGACATCATAAATAATCTCAGCATGAAAAATCTGCTGGAAATTTCCAAGAAATAAGCACGACCTGAAATTAAATCCTGAGACATTTTTATTAGCTAACATTTAAGAAACTTTTAAAGCTAGCAATGAGAAACGTAAATCCAATGCTGTTCGCGGCACATGAAATTTACTCAGCCATACTATTTTCCAAGATGTTCTTTTTTATATAGTCATTAACTTGCATAACTTTATGTAATCAAATGCAATCCACCTATACAAATCCTCACTATTGTTTAAAAAGAGAAAGTATTCATTCTGAAAAGCTACACAAGCGTGAGCTCCTGCCCCTCTCCCTGCTGATTACTCTAGGACAATAAATCTAACCACCAGCTAGTAACTTAAAGGTACGATCGTTTATTCCCGGGCACTGCAAGATGTACCCCTATTAACCTCCTCAGGCATGCTACCTGCTTCAACTGTATCACGTTTAGTTCCTCGCACACGCCATGCGAGACCCTTTCCCCAGCTAGGACATCACACATCTGTCGCCTCTGCCCAGGTCACACATCATGACACCCAGCGACTCCCTTTCTTTGTGCAAGTCCCCATTTTGATGTCACTTCCTCTACAAGCTGCACTCAAGGTCAAATTCCTCTTATGCCCTCTAAGGGCGTCTTGGATTTTTTCCCAGTTATAATTCAGGAATACTTTATTTAATGTCTCTTTCCTTGGGCTGTAAGTATGGTAAGAGTCCAGAGCATTAGTCTGGTCACGGGTGTATTCTCAAAGCCTAGCCTAGGCTGTTATTTAAAGGAAAACTTTTCTACTATCAAGCAGTGATCCATAATGTGAATAAGCACCCCAAAATCTGAAGGATGGTGACGGAGCCTCTCCTGTCGGCAATCTCTCGTTACTAACTCTCGGGGGCAGTAAGCACAGCCGACACTGCATGGACCCGGAGGCGGAGGCCCTCAGGGCGCCATGTCCTCTCAGCACCTTACCTTGGGTATTTCTTTGGAGCCTAGAGCTTTGGGGCCTTCGCGATTTAAGTAGCTTCGATAAGCTTGATAATTACTGCGTTTCTTTTCAGATTCTTCTGGACTTACAGACTTTGGAGAGAGGGAAAGGAAAATGAAGAAAAGTCATACAAAATTCAGGCAAAATTAAAAATACATACCTGAAAACAAACATTAGTCACTCGTGTTTAGTCCTGAAAATAGCAGGGCAGGTAAGCATAAGCCAATTTGCTGGCTCCATGCAAAAAAAGAAAAAAATGTGTTTTCTTTTAGAAAGTCACATGAATTTTAAATTCTATTCCCTAACATATCCATGCTTATTTTGACAGAAAAAATCAGTTCTTCTCCAAGTAAAACGGATCATCCCAGAAGCAACCCCATGGCCTCGCACACCCCAGAAACGCTAGGCCGTGCTACATCCCGAGAGGGTGAGCACGCTGCTCTGAGGGCCCTGTGAGCAGGAGCGAGCTGCCCCCGAAGGGCAGGCACGTTCTTCACGCCACCATGTTCCCGTCTGTTTATACTCTCCCTTCCTACTTCTCTCAGGGGACCGTACCACTGAGTTTGCTCTGAAAATCCTGGGGAGGTTTTTCAGACAGGGCCCACCTCCATGTTTCTGAACCAGAGATACAGGGCATAGCTAGGATGTGTGTCCGCGGTGGGGGGAACGTCCCGGGATAATTCTGACTCGAGAACCGCTACCAGACGGTTCCTCTTATTTTTCCCACTTCTTAGCTTACATTATTCTTAACTTTTTTTTTTTTTTTTGAGAGGTTTTTGCTATAGGGCGCGTGCACTCGCCAGACAGAGAGAGAGACAGAAAGTGAGAAATCACCCCCCGGGGGGTTGGTCACGCCGCAGTCCCTTCTCCTCCATTCTCCTCTCAGGATCTTGGGCACACACGCACATGCGCCCGGCGTGTTTTAAGCTGCCAGGTCTGAGACGCAAACCACGGTCGACTATGTGGGAGTCCAGCGACATAGCCATTACACTAACTGCTGGTTCCCCATTATTTTTAACTTCTAAGTAACCCCAGTTCCTTTTGAGAATAGACAAAATATGAATTCATATGATTTAACCAATAATATAGTTAGGCTGGTTTGGTGATGTTATGAGTTTAAAAAGTCATTATAGATCAGTTATAGAATCAAAGCCTTTTTTTTTTTCCCTAATTTTTTTGCTATAGGGCTGCTAGAGGTATGCTCACCAGGAAAAGACAAAGAGAAACAGAAAGAGGGAAAGTAAGAAATCACCCCCCCAGGGGGATGACCATGCCACAACCCTTTCTCATCCATTCTCATCTCAGGATTTTAGGCATGCATGCATACGTTCCTGGTGTGACTTTCAGGCTACCAGGTCCGGGACTCGAACCAGAGTCAGCCATGTGGGAGTCCAGTACCTTAACCAGGCCAGCACCCGTTGGCCCTTAAACCCTATTTTTAACAATGGGTCTCAAATTTTGGTGTGCATTCATATCATATAAGAAGTTTATTAGGGGCCAGCAGGTGGTGTGGTTGGGGATGCTGGACTCCCACATGGCCGATCGTGGTTCAAGTCCTAGACCTGGTGGCTTGCTTTCTCACTTTCTCTCTCATGCTTGCTCTCTCTCACTCTGTCCCTCTCTGCTCAAATTAAAATACATAAAGTTAAATAACATAATTATTTTTTTTTTAAAAAGAAGTAGTTTATTAAAATATAGCTGCTCATAGGGCCAACAGATGGAGTAGTGGTTAAGGCACTAGACTCTCACATGGCCAACCATGATTCAAGCCCCAGACCTGGTGACCTGAAACTCAAGCCAGGCACACGTGCCCAAAATCCCGCGGGGAATTTGGGCAATGTTCATAAATATGCCTAAAGGAACAATTCACTTTTTGGTCTCAGATTTTTCTCCACTAAACAGTTATCTGTTGGATGAATGTTTTTCTTCAGGCGCACTAAACATCTTCAGTTTACAGAGGAGAGGGGGCTGAGGCATGGCGGTCCACCCTGGAGCTGAGTTCTCACCTCTAGGGGATGATTTCTCACTTTCCCTTTCATTGTCTCTCTATACCAAGCACATGCACTCTATGGCCAAAAAAAAAAAGTTACTCAGACCATGTGCCCTGGGTAACTATGTTTTTAACACACTCTGGAAGAGTCCAGTGCATACCAACATGGACTAAATACTCACTTATAACAGTAATTCTATTTTTTTACATTCTGAATTATAAACTTATCAAATAACTTTGAAACTGTACCTATTTACTAAGTCAGAATTATTTGACAGAGATCAGCTGAATTCAATAGATTCTGATATTCTTAAAACTGCTTCAATAAAAGTTGAGCTATTTTTATTCCAATTTTGAAAAATGCAGTAACGAATAACCGCCATCACTTAAAGGCAGTTCTTCTTTTATAAGAGTAACTCTGTAAACTGAAGATGTTTAGTGCGCCTGAAGAAAAACATTCATCCAACAGATAACTGTTTAGTGGAGAAAAATCTGAGACCAAAAAGTGAATTGTTCCTTTAGGCATATTTATGAACACTGCCCATCAGAAACATGTTGAAATTTTCACCATTTCACCTTTCTGCACTAAAAATAATGGTGGTAGGCAGCTCAAACAGACAACATTCTGCTTTTAATTCTAAGTGACTGAGAGGCTTGAACTTTCTCGTTTTTAATCTAGAGTTTTTCCAAACTGGAGATTCAGAGACCACAGCTTCTCGGATATATATAAAAATAAAAATTTTTTAAAGCGTTCACTGTTATACCATTTTTTGCTTTGAAAATTATTTCGGTATCTCAGTGTTGTTTTACAAGTGTAAAAGGAGTAAATTCAGAACAAACCAGAGTAACAATTATTTTTTAACAAAAATAGCTACAACTTCTATCAGACCCATTATGTCCCTGGCACTTCTCTCAACAGTTTTACGCATTAACTTTTTTTTAATTATTTTATTTTAATTTTCTTTATTCATTCATCTATTTTAATTTGACCAGAGAGAGACAGAGAGAGAGGGAAAGTGAGGAAGGCCCCCCGGTCTGGGACTCAAACCATGGTCGGCCATGTGGGAGTGTCCAGCACCTTAACCACCACGCCACCTGCTGGCCCCCCACATTAACTCTTTAGGTACTATTATTATCCATATTATTTCACAAATGAAGAAGCCCAGCGTAGAGGGGAAGTAAGTGGCCAAAGTCACACACCTGCTGGGTGGCAGGACTATGATCTGAAACTGGCTCTAGAGTCTGCCTGGAGTCACTGTTCTACTGCTAGTTTTGCCTTCCGAGGACCTGAGTTCAAGGCTGGCTCTGCTGCTTACTCGCTGGGTGATTTTAGAAGTTGCTTAAACACTTTCAGCCTATTCCCTCATTTTTTTTTTTCAAGTTTTTTTTTGCCATAGGGTGTATCGCTTGCCAGAGAGAGACAGAGAGGGAAACTCACAAGTCATCCCTCAGGGAGGAAGGCCACACCACAATCCCCTCTCCTCCATTCTCCTCCTGGGATGTTGGGCACACACGCACCGGCCCCACCCCCACTTATAAGTCACTGGTACTCAGACTGCAGTTGGCCATGTGGGAGTCCAGTGCCTTAGCCACCACACCATCTGCTGGTCCCCTATTTCCTTATCTTTAAGAATTAAATAATAGGGCTGGCTAGCAGGTGCCATGGTGGTTACGAGTGCTGGATTCCCACATGGCCAACCGCGGTTCGAGGCCTGGACCTGGCAGCCTGCTTTCTCACTTTTTCTCACTCTATGGTCAAATTAGTTAAAAGAATTTTTTTGAAGAATTATTTTTTATTTAATTTTTATTTATTCATTCATTTATTTTAACCAGAGAGACACACGGGGGGGGGGGAAGGGAGAAGAAGAGAGAGAGAGAGGGACAGTTAAGAAGTTATTTTTTTTTTTTAAAGAATAATAAAAGTAAATATTTCACAGGATTGTTGTAAAAATTATGTGAGATACCATATGTAAAGTATTAGCATATCTGATACACAACAGTAAATATAGGATAATTAAGCTATAATAATCTATGCTATACAACTTCTAAATAAGATGATATTTAAAAATACTATAATGACTTGGGACCATCAGTTAGCATAATGGCTATGTCACTGGACTCCCATGTAGTCGACCGTGGTTCACGTCCTAGAACCGGTGGCTTAAAACTCACGCCGGGCATGCATGTGCACGTGCCCAGGATCCCGAGAGGAGAATGGAGGAGAAGGGATTGTGGCGTGGC